ACTAGTAGCTTTGCAAACTTTCTTGCAAAAATAATGGGTGAGGAAAGAATATGATTTGCTACAAGTTTTTTTTTTGAGTTACTAGATTATTATTTCTCATGTGTTATGAATGCTCTGGTTGTGGTTTTGGTCATTGAAACTGACTTTTGTGTTTGTTTTGTTTGTCGATTTCGAAGCTACTTATTATGACCTTCCGATTTGTTGTAATTATCTTGTAGGTGCTGGTGCCACTAGTCACGTTGTTGAGAATGTGGTTGTGTTTTTGGTTTAATGAAGCGGTCTAGGAGTTGCATTGTTTTTGAACCAAAGGTGAAAAATTAATGTGAGATACAAGTAGGGGTAGAGTTAGTCAACTTTTGTTAGAATGACCAAAGCAAATAGGAATAAAGACTAAAAAGTTTTAAAATTAATACGTTGAACTTAACCAATAATCAAAAGATTCATCATAGACAATAATTTTACATAACACATAAATCAAAATGAATAAGAAAAGAAAGACTTATAATAATCTTTAATCAAACCTGAAAAAGAAATGGAATCAACATTAAATGTTTTTATTTTATTTATATTTAAACTTGAAATAGTAAATATAAAACTATAATGCATAAAATATAAATAGTTAAATACAATATACAAGATTTCACTCAATGGTTAAATATATAATAGTTAATTAATATAAATAGAAATAAAAAGATAAAAGAAAACTTTACTTTTTCTTAATTTCACACGATAATGGTGAGTGGGTCTCGTCTTTCCTTATCCAAGTTTACAAGCTCATAAATCTCTTTCAAAGAAGAATGAAGTGCATTTCAATACCAAGTTACAGAGAAAATAGGAAAGTAACAATAAAAGGACAAAAGAGAAGAAAAAGAAAAAGAGAAAGAGAAAGGAGAAAAAGGTGTGGAGAAACTTAAATTAAGATAAAGTTGAGTAAGGCTTTGTGAGATTATTTTATTTTTTTTATTTACATTAATTATTAAATAAAATAATTAGTTTGAGGGGACCATAAAAATAAATAATAAATAAAATTTTTCAAAATTTTAAGGAGTTATTAAAAATATATAATAAATTAATAATTTTTAAAATATTAGGGGGATCTACCTTCCACCCTTGGATACGAGGGAATGTTATTTCCTTTGACATGTGTTGTTTTCAATTAAAATAATGAAGTGCGAATCATGAGAGATCAAATAGTTTACAAATGAGAATTGTATAATTATATAAAACTTGTTCATGAAGTTCACAAATCTGGCTTACATTTAGTAATCTTTTTATTGACATAATAATAATAGGATATATGCCTTTTTCAAAAAAAAAATGGATAGATGACCTACCCTTTTTTTTTTTAATGATGATATGCACCTAAGAAGATGTAGGGGTCAAATGTGACTATATCATAATCATGTAGAAAACTAAAAGCAACAAAAGGAAATGCATTGTGTGCACACACAAAACATGAGGTGTTCACTATTACTTGTGTCTTTTGCAGGGTTGTGAACTACATTTCCTTTTTAATGTTTGATTAAACACAACTTTATCCAAAATTTTGGTATGTTTTGCAATAACCTCAAAATATAATAGAAATTCAGTTTGTACAATTGCTTCCACTTTCATTATGTGAATTCATTGGTACTCATATACCTAAATTTAAACTACATTTAGAAGGAATAAAGGAAAAATGTCTACTTTGCCACCTTTGGGTTGCATAAATAGTTATAAATATTGAAATAAAATGATTTATGACGTTATGCTTGGAAGAGAAAAAATGTGGGAAAAACAGGCATCATTGAGTGGGACTTTAACAGTGCCAAAACTTTAGAAACATTTATTTCCTTGTTCCTTCATCTTTTAGGGATTAGCTTTTGTGGAAAACTTTGTTGTAGATGCTTCTACGGAGACCTAAAAATTCTGGACATGATTTGTTAACATGAAATAAGAATGATATAGAATTAAATGAATTTGACTTTAGACAAGTGAACACCTTTAAGACATGATAAGTTCGTGTCTTAAGCGGGTTAAATTCACTAGATCCACATATGACACGTTAAACTTCTTTAATTAATTATGTTATTGTATCAATTTTTATAATATGAAATTTTAATCTGTTTACAATACCCATTTAAACAAGTTAATTAAGTTAACTATATTTAAATGGGTTTGTTGTGTCATAATCATGTAAAATTTAATTAAATTAGATACACACTCATTTCCATTTCAATACTACATATCAGAGTGGTTAAAGGGAGAAAATTCCACCAATATGCAGTCATCTTGGTGATGTCCTTACCATGGGAATTCTTTTCATTCCCATTTTATTAATGGAAGCTATCTTATGGTTTTCAAACAAAAAAAAAAAAGAAAAAGAATTTTACATTGCTTTTATTAAAAATTAATAATGAATTTTGTAGGGAAAGGTTAACTTATCATCATGCATGGTGCACTACTGTTGGCTACTGTTTAGTGATTGAAATTATTTATGTTTTACATTAAATTTTTGAATTAATAATAAATGCGTGCATCTCTTAATTAAAATATTGAAGTTAAATTTCTTTTAAATTCAAAAATAATTATTTTTTTTACTAAAATCTATTATAAATAATACATTTTTTTCCTCTTTATTTTTTAGCATATATGATCTTTAGGACTATATAAAAAGATACTTGTTTTGTTTTGTAAATCTTAGCTTCCCGCGGGAAGATTTAAACTTGAGATCTTAAAAAATGTTTGATGTGAGACAAATAATAAGTTGCCTTCGATGAAATCAATTTCTAGGAATTATAGAAGAAATATTTAATTGTCAAAGCACGCACTAGGACATGTGTATGCTGCAATTTGAATAAATAATCTAGACCTATATATGATGCTTGTATTTTTGGAATGATAGAAAAGGTTAAAATTGAGGATGACATAATATCAATAGTGCTTATAATAAAATGTCGGTCGTCCATCATACACATGAGAACCATTGCTGAATTGGACAATAAACAGCAATAGTATTGCCATATATCATTTCAGAAACTGGACAAATAGCTTAATTACACATGAGCGGCGTGCAAGCCAAGGAGAATTGAGGGAGAAAGGAGTGACAAAGTGGAAGACAGTTTATGCTGTAAACAGTGAAGAAAGAGAGTTGGGTGCCAGACAGCTGATCTGCCGATACTTGACTTGAAATGGACATTTTCTTAGGTTTTGATTTGATAAGTCAGTGCTGCACAGTTTAATATGGACCCGTCCTTATCACTCGAAACAAATTGTTTTGTGGTGAAATCAGCTCCCTCTTATTACCCTCCATTTCATCTCCCTCCTCTGCATGTCTACACATGTATATTTACAACAGTTTTTCAACACAAGTAAACAAGTCCCCCCGCAAGGAATAAGACCGGCAGGATCTAGTAGCATCAATTACACAATCAGCGTGTTGAAAGGCGTCACTGGCACTTAGTTCAGGTGATAAGGGTGAGTTAGGGTATGAAGATTCTGATTTCAGGTCCTAGTACTTCTTTTGCTAAAAATAAAGAAACTGTGCAAAAGTGTGTACTAAACTATTAGCTTCTCTAACTTAGATGTTATATCGTTTACAATAATTGCATTATAATTTTCATATAGTTTAATATGGACCTTAACGTTTATAAGTGACGATTGAATTCATGGTAATATTATAATAAAAAGAATTATAAGTGAAATAGTCTTATAAAAATTTTTATGTCTCCAATGATTACACCATAAGAAAAGGGTAATATCTGTTATTGTTAAAGTTCAAAATACTAACTATTAATCAAACATGTATTATTTGTTAAATTTGAAATTGGATAAATGAATGAGTACATCAACTAAAAACCAGGCAGCTCGTGAAATGAGTATATCAATTAATCTTCTGAGTATGGGGAGAAATTAGATTCATCAAATAAGTTATAGGTGACTGGCACAAAATATATATGAAGTATATGCATGTAAACCATCCATTTAACTATATAAGTTTAATACATATATAAAAACTCCTTTTGATGTTCCTTGGAGATTAACAAGTCATGCCATCCAAATCACTAAACTGTTTGAGAAAGTTCATACTTAGAATATCTCTCATATACCTCGTTCTTCCAACGAGGCTGCCGACCAACTCGCAAATGACGTTCAAAGACCCCAGGATCTGTTGTGGATCAGTTCTGATCCAAGGCATGTTATAAGTGGTGGTGCTCCTATAAACGCTAATGTGGGTTCTGGTTGATTGATGGGGATGGCTATTTTTTCTCTCTTATGCAGGGTTTTTATCTGTTCTGTCATGGCTGATTTCATGCTTGATCCTTTCTTGACTCGATAACCAGTCCTTGTTGCTGCTTTGGGTCTTTTCTCTGCTAGTAATTACTGTGGTCTCGTTGATACGGATAGTGTGCTTATTGGTTGTTGTTGAAAATGGTTAGCTCTCATGTGGAGTGTGCAGCTCTTGTATACAATTTTTGTACAGGGAATCCTTTCCTTGTTGCTGCTTTTGACTGCAGAGGCCATCACGCCACCACCACTTAAGTGGCGTCGAGGTCTTCTTCCCGCAGCTACCCTTTTTGTTTGTCTGCAGCCTCTTTTGATCATGTAAGCTGCGGCTTTTTTGTAATCCTGTCTTGAATGAAAAATAATTATATAAATTTAGTATTATATGATCACAACCGTTCATCAGATGAGTGGTTAGATTTGTATGAGCGTATAAATAATTACTCTCTGTATAGTTATATTTGGATCCCTAAAATGTAAAAATTTACACGAGAAAGCACCATAAAATTAAGAAGCCATTTCTCATGCTAATTAATAGATACATAAGTTTGGTTTTGCAGGATTATTAGGTCTCCTATTTGCAAAGATAATAGTTTAGCTTTTCCATGCAACTAAATAGCTGCTGAGGAAATTGCAACTTAATTGAGCTAAAGCGACCTGAGAAAGAAGGTAAACAAAAGAAGGGAATCAAATACAAGAAGCCCTAAATATATAAATGAGAATCAACACTGTCTCTGTCAATTAATCTGAACTCCAAAAAGAGTAACCCTTTTCTCCTCCACATCATGGGATGACTTTAATCCACTGAGACCTTTGTCTTCATTAAACAGACTGTTACAATTGTCAATTCTGCAGTAGAAATTCAGTCCCAATTCCACTTGCAAATCCTGTGGTGATGATTCCAATCCGTTTGAGACCTTGTCCTCGTTGATGCAACGTTGTTCACCATTATAATTTACATCAATTAGGAAGAAATTTAGAGCATCTTTTTCCACAAGTGCAGGGCAGTGACATGTGTGAAAAGTGATTATGTCTCTTTCCTTCAATTTTTTCTCCTTGACAAATCGATTCCAACCCCTTGTAAAAACAAAGCTCTGGCTACTTCTCCAGTAGCAATACCGAAATTTCCAAGTCCTCATTAGCCTGTCATAGAAAACAAGCTCCATTTCTTCTACGCCAACACCAGCCACATTTTCTTCATCATTTTCACGGATGTAAGGAAAGTACTTAACAGCATATTTTTTGGGGATCACAAGTCTATTAAGCTTACCGACATCACTTGGAGTTAATTCCTTTTGGAAAAGTTGTACACAGGAAAAATGTATATCACCATGCACCATATTTTTGTTGACACTTTTGCTGCCCAATAGCCCATCCCTTTCAGATAGAATGTTGACAAATTCTGCAAACTTGGCTTGATAGGAACCGTCTCTGATCATGTTCAAGACATCTTCCGTGCTATAAAGGCTTTGAAAAAGAGGCTCTTGGATGTTGTGCTCTGCCCATGGGAAATTTCTATGGGAATCTCCACTTCGAAGCTTGATCGCTGCGCTATCATAAGACATAGCTGCTTCTTTCTCGGACTTGAATGTGCCAAGCCAAATCCTCTGGTGGTTGGCATAAATTTGCGCACCCCAATGTCCATTTTGCTGTGGCACAACCCCTTTAAACCTTGCTAACGAGGCATTGGTTTCGTGCCTGGAACGTTTGCTAGCACGTAACGGGTAGTTGCTGTTGCCACAATTTGAAGTTTCTGCTGGTGCCACTTTCAATTTGGCATTTGAAACCATGCTTGATTCATCTTCGTCCATTAGAGAATGGCCAAAATGAAGAACAAATTAACAAGACAAATTTGGGAAAAGAAAATTAGGCAAGAGCTAATGGAGGGTGTAAATGAGCAAGGAGGGGTTTAAACAAAATCAAAAAAGTAAAAAGGCATGGGAAGATTAATTGATTAAAAAATTGAGGAGAGATTAATGGAGAAAATCTGGGAATCAGAGATATTGATTTGTTGTAAGAAAATGGCAGGTTTACATTTGAAAGATGAAGAGTTGAAAGAACCCGAGCGTAATTAGGTATCCTTTTGACAGCCAAGTTAAAACCCTATTAACTTTCCAGAAACAATGTTTGTGCAATGAAAACAATAGGTTAGAAACAAGATTTTTCTTATTTGAAAAACACAGGATAATTACTAATGAGTGGGTTAGTATGTTGAAACAAACTGTGAATGGCTGAATTCTAGTTGTCTTAATTTAGGCAGGAAGGTTTTGTTCAACTTAATATAACGCTTACCCTCTCAATTAGTTCCTTTGTTAACTGAAAATGCCATTTGTTTAGTGTGTCATGCTAGTTGCAGCAAAGCAGAGTAGGTGCTGCGCGCAATGCCTCTTTTTGTCTAATTGAACTCAGATGGGTTGGCATTTTAACAAAATATATAAGTAATGGCTAATTGGGGTGGTTTGTTCCTATAAAGTTTGATGGAGGTTTTCTAACCATCAGGGTCTCAGCTTTCAAATTCCAAGCTGTGTGAAATTAATTCAATGCTGTATACGTTGGATTTCTCTCACCTGTTGATTTGCTAATTTTTTTTTTTTTCCTAGAGATGGGTTTTCTAAAGGCTTGCTTGGTACAAGTTCTCTTTCTGTCAAATAATTTTAATTAAAAGAAAAGTGTAATTGTTTGTCAACATACACTGTGACCGTGATTAGTGGATTAGAGATTGAAATCTCTTATATACATATTTGACATTCCATTTACCATTATTTTGGTCATAATTTTTTGTTTTTGTCTTCCCAAAGGAAATGACATATGTGTCCACAAAGGGCAATTTATTAACTGCACCTTTAGGGGGGCCTTGGAATTAGGGTGCAAGTTGAAACCATGTTCACAAATTAAGCACATTTTAACCATCCGTTTCAGCTTTTACGGTGGCCGTTTGCCCCTCTCATCATAATCACCCTAAATAATGGCTTATCATATCACACCATGGCCCATGTTTTTATTGCTAAGTTTTTGACTCAACTTAATTTAGATAACTCTTTCCATTATACAAGAAGAAACCCAGATATTTGCCTTTTGAAGTTTTCAAATTTATATTTCATTATAAAAGTTCTTTCAATACTCAATAATAAAATCATATCACAAATTTTCTACCACTTAAAAAAATATATTATTTGACCAATAATAAAGCATGTATTATAGCAAAATTAACCAATTACATTTCTTATAAATATTGATTAATCCAAAAAGTGAAATATTTTGATTATAATCTAATGAGGAGTAATGTAATATTACTTAAGTTGTAAATAAAACCCCTTAATTTCAAATAAAAAGATATATTAATATATATATTTAAAGTTTAGATTTTTATATTAAGGTGGTCCAAAAGGCATTGCATGTCACTATAAGTCTGTAAGTTCTTAAGCTTGAAATTTCTTATGGCATTGGCTTCTAGTTCCTGGTAGATAGAACTGTACATAACAATTAGGACTAAGCCACATCTAAAACCATTAACACCATCATCCCAGTCTAATATATATATATATATATATATATATATATATATATATATATATATATATAAAAAGTAAATAAAAATTAGTTTGGCGATAGAAGAGTAGTAATGTTTAACAAGGACAAGACGTGGGGTTAGCCATGAGAACCAATATCTAAAACAAGTATTAGTTACTTGCAATAGACACATATGTATATAAATATATCCCTTAATTATTCTCATAAATTTCCTCTTTTTTTGGTAAAAATCTTTATTATCCTTATCAATATTACACAATTTTAGGTAAAGTTGTACAACCATCCTAGGTTCAACAAAGAAGTAGCATGTGAACAAGTAAACCAAGAGAAGATCGGGGAGCTTCATTAGGGAAATTTGTTATACATAACAGAATCCTCATAATTGAAGTCTTTTTAATCGTTGATAACACTTTCCACACGCAAAGCTCTTTGCCTTCGTTTTTTCCTTGCGGATAAAGGGTAAGTAGTACGTATAAGGCTTTGGTGAAGACATTATTGGTTCGTATCTTCTGGAGGCAAGCCAAATTGTGAGCTTCAGCTCTCTCTGATTCAAGTTGCAATCCATAAATGACAATAGGCTTCGACGGACTATTTTCTCTTGTTATCCTCGACACTGCTTCTTCGCCTTCCCCGGAGTCTTTAACAATTCCCAGAGACATTACCTTGTCCGTGACCAAGTTTCGTAAAAGGTGAGTAACCCTACCTAAGGTATTTTTCCCTCTTGAGAATTATTTTTGTATATGATTGGAAAAATCGTACCAGCGTAAGCTTTGATCTTTAGTAGAAAAATTGATGACCTGTACTTAACATGAAGCTTTAGCTTTGTTGCGTGCAAGATTATCAAAGAGCTAGCAGGGCAAGCGATGGCATATTGATGGTTAACTGTTCATCAATATCGCGACAAAAATTCTTTTGCTGTTGTCTACCCCTGGAAAATTATGTGTTATACATTACAAAATTTAGTTTTCGATATCTGGATTAATTTTGGAAAAAGATGATATGGCTTGTGTCATCATCAATCTATATGGAGCAGCGTATTTTCCTACCTTTTTCCTTGGAATTAATCCTTTCACATCGCCCCTTACCCTTTGTATACAAAACTTATAACCTCAGCTAAGGAAGAAGAAATGGGACTTTTTAAACAAGGTAAAGGAAGGGAGTTTCCCTTTGCTCACCACCCTTTCTGATAAATGGAATTTCGTTTCTTTTGACAAGGTTTGAGGAATATAAGTTTGACAAATTTGATTCACTTGTGGCCTCCTCTAATTAATTCCAAATAATCCATGTATTTTCTTTTGTATATCTCCAAAATTTTCTTCTTTTACTGCAAATTGACATTTATTTTTAGCACTTCATCTTAAAGTTGTTTAGGATCCTTCCCTAGTTATAAATTTTAGATATTATCTTCAAATGTCACCGTCTAGCATATGACAAATTTAGAAATCTTGTTACATGTAGCATTTCAAATATTATCACCTTTCTTTGCTCTTGGCTTGGGATATCCCAATTTTATTTTCCACTTCCAGCTCCTTCATCTTACCTACTTACGATAAGTTAAAATTGAATTGTATCTATTAAACTATAATTAGGTGTAAATAAATATAACACCATATATAATTTCATATGTTATTTAGCTTTAATATATATTGCTCATGCTTCATACACATGTTTTCTATTTTTGTTCTTTAATTTGAAGTTTTGATTCAATGTATAAGGAAAAGAGTTTACCACACGTACATTTGACAGCATTTTCTTTTTTCTTGCTGAAAAGAAATGGTTTGAAATGTATTGGATGAACAAATCATCATTGTTATTTAGATTTTCCATGTGAGTGTACAGTTTATAACTGTTACATATGCTTAGTGATGAAATTAATAAGTGGAGATAGATCAGGAAAGGGCTCATATACAAAACACCAAGAGTGAGATTTAGGAGTGTTTATCAATATTTTGAAAACCTGAGCATTGAAAAGATAGATAGTGATGGAATATCACTTTCAGATGAAAATAAAATCCCACTGACCAAGATTTCATGGAAGAAATGACCTAATATGTGGCATAGATTCTTCTATGCAAACTTCTCATGATCTTCTATATTTTACCAATATTTCTTTCCATCTTACTGAAGAAAAATATTTATCTTGAGCCGAAAACATAAGGTCAATTTGATAGTGACCCTTTCTTGTCTATCTTTGTATGTTCTCCTATATATTGGACTCTTTTCTCACATTCTTCCCATACCACTCTTTCATCTCCTCTCTCTTAATAAGAGAACTTCTTCTTTCTTCTCTATCTTTTATGAGCATCCCTTTTCGTTCAAGTCTCTTTCTTGTGAGTTATAAGGTCTTAAGTTTAATACCATTATCTCTTCTTTCCCCACTTGTTTGAAACTTTCACACATATAACCTTGCCCTTTTTTCTTATGATTTTCATGGACACACTGCCTCAATTATATCCATTAGAATAAAAAAAATTGATTGTTTTTGTTGCTCTCTTTTGCATGGTTTGATTCGTCTTTAACATATTGTATGATTTTGCAGAATAAACTATCAATGGCCAGTTTTGACTCTAGCAATGAGATCGAGCTAAAGGTTGGCAAACTACACCCAGCATTAAATTTAGTTAAATATACTACCTTTTCCCTTTTTTTTTTTTTGGAAACAAGTAAGAGTTACCATGAGAAAATGACTTTAGTCACCGCCTAATTAGCTCAGTGCTAAGTTTTACTTAGCAGGAAATTACACTATTACGAAGTTAGTTGGCTTAAAATAATCCATTCATGATTCATGTAACTTGAGTCTTGCTTATTTTCGGTTGCATGTATATTGTATCCATTAGTTTTCTTTTATTAATGTTAATCTTTTTAAGTGTTAAATCTGTTTTCGCAGCGTATATTAATTAGGTTACCCCACATCTAAGTATTTAACGTCCCAACTAGTTGGGTGGAACTTCTATTTCATAGCCAAGCAGTTTTAGCCCACTTTAAGCCTCACAATATCTAAGGCTAAGCTTTATTTATTTGGTTTGATAATATATCACTGTATAAGTGTATTATTTTCTTTTTGGTTGATCTTATTCTACTATTGATAATGACAGGATAATGCAGAAATTATTAGCTCAAGACAAGTGGAAGCTGTGAACGGAAGTGAGAATACAGATGGAAAGAAGAAGCTCGATACCAAAAGTTCTCTCATCAAGAAGCAGCCATCAGGAGGATGGACATATGCAAGTCTCTTGCTAGGTAATTGTCAATTCTTAAGCAGCTAATCACTTGAATTGTA